CCTGCTGAAATGTAAACCCCAGATTCAGCTGTGTTTGTTATGGTTGCACCAGCCCTCAGCGCGCACACAACGCTGTCACAACGTAGCTATAACAGCAGGGCAATATTTCAACAACAATCTATTTGGTCAGCTGCAATTACATCACTAGGTGGTCAAACACATAGGTTTGCTGGAATGATAATTACGATTATTTCACCTTAGCAAGGGTCCTATATGATGTTCTTATTTCCTAACGTATGCTGACATGCATAACAGAAGTTTAAGTCAAGTGCTTTTAAGTTATTTTCACAGTGTCTGAACTTAGCCCCACTGGACTGTGTACACAAAAGCACCATCATTATTGTTTGTGCTGGGGATGCTCTACTTAACAGTAGGGCCTGCTATACTCTGTTGTCTCTTTTAATCATCTGGCTAGAGTATAAACAATAGTTTAGACTGAACATTTATGCTGCCCTTGAGATCAGTGGCCTGCTGTGCTAATAGCTATTTACTTTTCAGAGAAAATGAGTAACCAAGAAAGTCTATTTTTATCCTAAAATGACCCCAGTGTCAGCCCCACTGGTGGGGGTGAGGGATAGGGGAGAATGTAGGGGGGTGGGGGGTTCACATCCTTAACTTTAATCAAACCGCTAGCCCTGCAGGCTGTACGCTGGTGCAACAACCTTCTGCATGATTAATTTTTTTTCCTCTTCACTTGTGAGCTCATGTGACCCAAAGTTACTATAACACAGAAGATTCCTAGAGGATTTGATGCTAAAATATAAATCTGGAATCTGTCTACAACAAGCTGGGGGTCTATGGATTGTAGCATCAGTTGGGCGGGTAATTTATTGTGGTAGCTAAGTGTTTCCATTTGCAGTGAGAGCCACTAAAAACAGACTTGCTGGGGGGCCCGCATGTAAAAGTCTGATGCGGTGTGTGCTGGCTCTTGGCCTGACAACCTGTTTGGGGAGCTATATAGATGGGGTTATAATGAATACATAAACTAGTCATCACAAAAGGTCCTCCCTATACTGGCCAAAGTTGCAACTTTGGTCAATTTCCTATTCATTCACCTTATGTACCATATGCAGAGGAGCGACCTGCAAAGGAATATTTACTGTTGATGACCCTTACTGGTCTTTTTGTTCATTTTCATATGCAAATATTAAAGAGTAGAGCAGCCATTCAATTTTAATTACTAAGACCGAATACGAACCTGAATCCAATGAATAGGAAGAAAAGAAGAAAATGTCAATTTATTCAATGTTTTGCTTGTTATCCCTCTAAACATATAGAGATATTGGTATTTATGTGTACTTCATATACAATAAACAAGTACCTCACCTGTCCCCACACAATGTAAATACAATGTAAATACAATGATACAGTCTTTATACAAGGTGCAAAGATCAGAAGGCAATAAATGTTTATAGTTAATTAACTGAAACACACCACTAGTAACTTACTGCTGCCCTCTACTGAATCCAATGAGCACAGATTACTTATAAGTCAGCATATACTGTAAATGTAGGAATAATACATTTTTCTGCTAAATTTCTTATACTGCACACATCACTTCTAGTAATAATATTCAGTAAGTGAGCAAGTAACACAACATTGCTATGTTAGAAAGACAAGCATTTCAGCAGAGTAGGATGAAGGTAGGTTGTAATGTGGGATTTCACCTAGAGTTGATTTGACACTGATACTACTGCATAAAACCACATCCAAGTTTGGTTTGGCGGGTGAGCTGTTAACTCTGTTGCACAGAAATGAGAAAAAGTTTGTGAAACAAACCAAAGTGCACCTCAAAAACCAAGGAAAATGTATCAATAAGTGTAAGAGCACATGATATCATCATGCAGCTCAGCATCTGGGAAAGTACCATAATAACAGCCATGGAGAATACATTTATGGTTTGACAAAACCATAGAAAGATCTGATTGCAAACAAAGCACTGTTCATGCAAAGAATATACTGCAAATTCACAGTGAAGCAAACTACAACATAAATTTACAGGTAAATGTTGGTGGAGGAAGGTCTATCTTTCACTACAACAGATGAGAAAATAATTCAGTGCTGGCCAAAGACAACAAGATGATGATGATATTGAGTGTCATATCACTTTCTTTTGGAGACTACATATTCACCTCCTGGTTGGACTCAAGCACCTTCCTTCCAGGAACGTTTTTCCCAGTTCTAACATTAACCAACAGGCCTTATTTCCTGAAACCAGAAACTCCCTCAGCAAAAGGAAACGCAGCAACACCTGCACTAGTAAGAGACAGGCCAGGGCGCGAGTCAAAAATCAGGCCATTATACTCTGAGAGTCTGATAGTTTTTTAAAATATAGTCTAGGTCTGCTTCATATCAACAATTACTCATAAATCTGTATGTGTGACTGATGCCGGACACAATACATTGCTACATTATCTTAGTAAATGCACAAATAACTTGAAAAGGTAAGTGCTGAATTATAAACACATTGCCAAAAAATACAAAGAAAATGCTTTACTTTTATAGATAATGTTACAAAAAAACATATTCTGGACATTGATGACTCCAGCCTCATTTGTATTGCAGTCACATGGCTCCATATTTGGAGGGCAGTGCAACCCGAATGTGCCCCTGTAGCCCACAGTCTTGGGCTGCTTTTTCCCAGAAAGAGTTGATTGATTGGCCATCAGTGGAGACACGCTCCTCGAATGAGAGTACTGGCCACAGAACTATCAAGTAAACATGCTTGGAAGTCAAGGCCAGCAAAATCCGCTTTGTCTCCATACCATCCGCTAGGAAAGCAAAGCTGGATCTCGTGTATCTGTGGTCAGACATGACCGCCACCACTTCCTCATATAGCAAGGCTGCTTCAAAACCACACCAGTGTGTACTCTATTTTCCCTAACCTTTTTTAGGTTTGGAATTCACATAAGCATGTGGTGTGCTCTTGGAGTTTGGGACTTCCAAAATCCCACTGTTTATCACTCAAATCAACAAAAATAAACAACACAGTGAAAACCTTCTCAGCTGCACTGGAAGAGGTTTTTATAATGTCATAAACAGAAATCCTTTTTTGTGTTTTCATCTGATTGTGCTTTCAGTCTCACATAATTCCTGGTGAACTGTGTTTAAGAGGAAGTGATAAGTTCATGCTAATTGGGACCAGATCAGTGAGTAAGGATGTCAGTCTTTTAATTCCCTTTATATAAGGCATCCTCCTAATTCATAATTGAGTGCTTAGCCACGTGCCAAATCAAATCTGGCCCAGTGTCGACATGAAGGAGCTCCCTCTTTTCGTGAAAGCCACGCATCAGGGGTAGCAAGTTCATGCCAACAGTCTTGGTGCCAACGGGATGTTATAACATGCAAACTGCACAAAGTGAGGCACTTCCACACAACAGCACAAACACAGCAGAAACTGTCATTATTATTCATTTCTAATTTTTATGTTTTGATTGTCTCTGTTGCAAGTTGACTCAAGGGAGCTGACTGTGAGTTGTTGTCTGTTGACTTTTTAAAGCCTGTTTGAAATTCAGAGGTCTCATTTAATTGGCTCTGGATTATTCCAAACAGCTAAACCTAATTTACTTTCCAGTTATTCAATTATGTTATTTATTTGGTTTTACTGGCCATTTTATGCCAGGATACTCTACTGAAATGTTCTAATGAGTCAAGTTAATTGGTTGTTTAAAACCTTCATCACAGCGTGTTTTCTAAAAACAGTTGCAGCTAGAAATGCAGCGGAGAATGTGGAGAGTCAGGTAAAAGAATGAGCTAATGTACTAAAACTCTCCATGGAGCTAAGGGGAAGTACAGAGTCAGGTGACAACTGTCTGTGGATTGGAAGACACCTTTTCACATATTAATCAGTAATTTTATTAACTGTTCCAAAAAAATAATGATTACAGCTTTATACCAATAAAACCGATCTTAACTCTGACAATTCAGGACTTCATCTTATTGCAAATTTTATGCTATTACAGACTTTCAATGGTGATGACTTAACTGAAAAGAAATTAATTCACTCTAAGACTTACAATGCCTGTTGTGTTGCTTCATTCATTTATTTGTTTGCTATAAGAAAGATGCAGGTATACTCTTCCCTTATAGTTAGAGGTAATTGTTTGGATGTGTCTAATGTTGGGATGTTTGACATAATCTGCAAAAGAAAGCCTCTTTACAGCACTAAGACCAATTTTTTAAACATAGCAAGGATATTTCAAGTTAAGCTAACCGCTAATTACAAGTGCACAGTGATAACAGACCACAGCAAAATTACAGAATTACAGTAATTGTCAGTTCATTACAGATAATACATATTCAGGATAGTATCAATCTTAAGCAAGACCTATACAGTAGATAGGGACCTTAACATGGAGTATTTCATTTAGAATATTTTAAAACAGCTACACTGTATATTAATAATTATGAGTCATTTCCACTTGGTGCAATACAAAGCAGCAATATTGAGACATGCAACAGGGATCCTGTGTCCAGAGATGATAAGTGGCACTCAGGGCCTAAGAAGGAGAAAAATAGTCAAAAGGAGGGATGGTAGAACATCATCAGAAACGTGGACATAACCGTGATGACACTGGCAAATTTGATCTGTCAGTCTGTCGCTAATGAATAATAATAATAAAACTCAAATCAGATGTATCTTTTACTCTTACATCTGTTTTTTTATATAACTACAGAGACAACATGCATGCTTGTTTAAAACTTGTGCAGAGAGACTAAATAGGCTAGTTATTTTCTTTTTCACTTCTGGAAATCCATTTCGCCCTTCACTGGAGTCACCGTCCTTACTGCCTCCCACTGCTGCTGTGCGTCTCCTCTGAGACACATTCAGTCATTTTTTCACCCTCCAGCTTCACTGGGTGGGCAAGATATGCACTGAGGAATCATGCTTTTGCCCCTGACCCCATTCAGGTGCTGCCACCAGTAGAAGTGACTAATGCACTGACAAGGCTGTTCAATAGGCTGAGCAGGGCCGAAAGCACCACTACCAGGGGTGTAAACCTAGTGCTGGGTGAGTCCCTTTTCCTCTCTGTCAGTCAGGTGCCTATTACGATTGTATACCAATACCTTCTGATCAATTTGTAGTGCACACTTTCCTCTCCACTGAATTTGTACCAAGCAGAGGTTCAGTATATTTGCTTCCATAGTCCAGCTAAGTAAAAAAAAAAAAAAAAAAAAAAAAAGGTGTATGTGTTTTCAAAATGAAAACTGTGCAGCCAATAGCATCTAAGCCTAAATGAATGCTATCAATGCTAACAGCATTCTGAAAGTGCTGCAGGATGGACATTCCCACTACTCTTCATAATGATGGTTGATTTATCTCAGTCACACGTTTGAATAGTTTCAAGTAAATTAATAAAGTGAAAAATGACATATTTAGATTTGCACAAAAGCGTTAGCTTATGTCATGTAGAAAGATGAGCCACTTAAGAGAAATATGTTACATATTCCTATTAAAAGTCATAATCAAATATGACTTCAATCTCAGGGATTATCTTTAGTGTTAAACAGATACTGCTGCACTTTCTAGAAACCACTGACACAAATGCTTGTACCAATGTAACTATATCATGGAATGCAACAAAAATCCACTGAACTATTTTGGAGTACATGCAAGTCCTTAATGCTATACTTTGGAATTCTCAAACTGCACCAGTCCCATGAGGACAGTGAGGAAGCTTACAGTGCATTTTTCAGGAGGGACATAGTGACTGCATTCTTCCGCTGAACTGCCTGAGCTACAGTAGTCTCTTCATACGGCAGGTGTGTTTCTCTATGTGCATGGTGGCTCGGTCTGTGGAGCTGGTCAGGACGTCCAGAACTTCATCCTGACGTTCCAGCTCTGTCTCTGCCTCCAGGGCAAGGTTCTTCAGCTGCATGAGCATCTGCAGAAAACATTCACACAACCAAATATGTACACTTCTGCACAAACACACATGATCATTTGTTTTAGTAATTACACACCAGCCCCCAGTGATCATGGACAACTAAGGAGCAAGACACAAATAAAATAAGACTGACTGTTAAAACTTACAGACAATTGAGCAATTGCAGGGTGGAACATGTGGACCACATGCAGAGAGGTGTAGAGATGGGGTCAGTGAGTTAGAAAGCAAGTGTGTGTGTTAGTGAAATAGAGAAACATTTGTAGATGAGGGTGAAATTTTCATTTAATTCTGATTTTTTTCCCACTTTGGCTAAAAAGACAAAACCTGCAGCTTAATATCTGCAAATCAGAAGACTACAATTCAGCAACGACCATGATGCAATAGTATCTACTCCTGTGGCAGGTACTGTAGGATAATATTTCATGTAATGCAATACAGGAAAAGTACGAGAGGGCTTGGCTTGTCTCCTGGGATAAGTGATATCATACAGTATTGTTTGTTTTCTGTTTTCAGTCAGTTTAAAAAATGCTGCGAGTAAATCTGCACGGTCCAAACACTGTGTATGCTATGGTTGATGGAACAACTTAAATATACTGTGATGCGCCAAGCAAAACCTAATAAACACTCACTCCAAACCACACCACCATGGATTCTAAACTAATATGTTATGCTACATAAGCTCTCTTTCTCTCGCTCTCTCTCTCTCTCTCACACACACACACACACACACACATTCCCGACCATTTTGTCAGTTTCACTACATGCAGACACTGCCAAAGAGCACAGAAACAGCTCTATACAACAGTTTGAAAAACTGAAAGTATGTCAATACAGAAAGAGAGACAGCTATACTTGCTTACTTGGGCCTGAATCACACCTCGCTTTTAACACTCACAAGCGTTTTGGTGGGTTATAGAAAACACAGAAAATGAATATTTTTAGCTGCTGCTTATACAATGGCTAGAGGGCTTAAGTCATGTAGAAACCCTCAAATTAAACATTTAGGCTACAACTAATAGAAATATATATAAACTAAAATTCCTAGTGTCTTAAGCATTAGTGGGGTATTTTCAGGACTAGATGTACAGTACCATACACAAAATAAAATAAAATAAAAAGTTTTATCACTTGTATGAGTAAACAAGTGTTAGCAAGTAGGAATTTCCAGTCTCAAACAATAATATCTATGGAAAAATGCTTTGACAAAAAGGAATATTTGCTAAAGCACTTAGGACAGGACATTAAACCGAGCTATACAAGTTGGCCAACTGTAGATTCTAATCTTGACATTAAGAGTAGGGTGTGTGCAGAAGCGTAGCATTAACTAAAAAGTGGCAGCCTTTGAAGTCTGGACCAGTATCAGCTATAGACAATAAGCCATTTATGAACACAATAGACAAGCCAAGCTGTATGACTGGCCCAGTGCTGCAACTGCTGTGATAGATCCGTTTTAAAAATGATTACACAGACAAAAACACTATAAACCACTGTACACACTGTATATAGTGTTAACAATGTACAATTATTTTATGTAACTAAACCACAAATAAATACACTGCCACAAAAATGGGCCAGAACCCAGTATAAGGCATATTGTATTTCATATACACAATGTATATCAGTTATCGTTATTTTTTTGGCTGCACTCTTTGACAAATACTACACCTATATCAGGTAAGCCATCATATAATCTTGGCAACATGCAGTATAACTTTAGCAAATGAGACTACAATCATTCTTTCCTTTGTTTAAATATCATAGGTCACATGCTCGTGAAAATAAAATCAAAAGCAGCCTGCTGGAGGCTTTACATGAAATGTCTTAGTTAGCAACCTGTAATAAAGTATCACATCCACACAAAAACTTGTTTGAATCATGGGTCTGAATTTACGTCACAGTGTAAGTCTTGCCACCACATAACAGCTCTCAGTGCTGTGAGGTTTTTTTATGGAAAGACACTCTACAGTCTAACCAAATGACTGACCATGTTTCTTTTCCTCTCTTAAAACCGGATGGACTTTGGTTTGTGGCCTCACTAAATATCATTTTAAACATATGGGATGAAAACTAAAAATCATTAAGATGAACTGTGGTATGGAACAAAACAAATACAATATATGTAACTTTAGTAGCTGCCAAGGCAATGCTTCCTGTGCACACAAACATGACATTTGTATTACCTGCCTTGAATATACAAATATGAAAGATCTTAATGCAACAGTAGTGGAAGCCATACATTTACATAGGCAATGGGAGTCCAACTTGTCCAAATAGGCCTCACCTGTTTGAGTTCCTGGGCCTCAGCCTGACTGACAGATGGCTGGAGAACATGCACCTGCAACTGGGACAGCTCTCCTGCTGGGACCTCCAGCGGGAGCTCTGGCTCTTGGCACCTCTGTGGTAAACCTGACTCCGTGGGTGGAGATGGTGAAAAAGTGCAGAGTGCATATGATGTTTATGAAGAAACCAGACAGTAAACTCAAAGCACAGCAACTGAGGCAATCAGGGTGAAGTGACTCATCAAAATACATTTCTGTCAAGGACAGACACCAATAACATGTGCAAAAGTCATGCAGGTGAAATGTTTTTACACGTGGCTGCACACAAAAATATACAGAGGTGAAAGCATGAAGACTAGAACTTTACTGCCACTTTGTGGTCACATTTATTATAGGCATGGAAACTACTGTGAAAAAACAGTTCACTCTTTTCCTTACCTTCATTCCAGTTTGTCCCTTCTGTGTCACAAGGAGATGAAACCGGAGTTGCCTTAAAAGCAGTGTATTCACTTGTGAACTCCACCTTCTTTTTGTACTGCATCTCTAGCACTGACATTGCCTCTGACATCTTGGCAGACAGGAACCTGTAGCATATATCAGGCTTCCCTATAAACCGCTGTCGAATGGTAATCTCATAAGGACTGTGCACCCTGATTTCGTCAATTTCATTGCGTTCAAAGCGATGAAGGAGCCGGCAGTTTATGTCTTGGACCTCCAATGAGGATACCAGCACCAACAAGCATCCAGGTTTCAAGTCTGAGTCTCCACCTCTGGATACTACTGCTGGGATGCTTGTGATCACCTTATTTCTACCGGAACCCCTGCCAGCTGAAGCAGCAGTGGCACCTGGAGCTCTTGCAGCATCCTCAGCCTTGGCTTCCTGCTG